TGTAGACCATTGCCCATCGTCACGGACAGCGATCCAAGGAACCCAGTCACCAGAAAGACGCTCGAGCACGCCCATTTCATCACTCGGGTCACCGTCGCTGAAAACGACCTCGAGCTCCCTGAACACTCTGAATTATTCCTTGAACTTTATCCGGAGAGGGACGAAGACTTGCATCCTTATGCAGGCTACTATATCGCCGACCACAACAACCAAACCGTCTTTTGGGCTGCGCCCATCTCTACCATCGACCTTGGCGCCCATCCAGTAAACCCAGGCACTTTTGCGGATCAGCATTTGAGTGAGTATCATCATATCTCTGATCCTTCTCATCTCACCTTCCTGTAGAGCTTCAGCTGGGTCACCAGTACTGGCAGCACGTAGAATGCTATCCCATCGATGCCAACATCGATATCAAGCAAGCTGAACACGCATTGCTTGAGCAGCTCTCCTTTATGTATCTAGATATTGCGACCTCGCATACATCCACCGCACCGTGGACAGAGGCTCAATGCCAAACATACATTTCCATGCTTCACCGTAAGTTCAATCATTAAAATAGTAAGGAAATTACTCAACTCTCTTTAGACACCCCTGCCAGCCGTAAAACGTGGACAGTGTCCCGATTGATGGCTCTCATGGGTACGCGTTCTTCCTTTCACGAACGCAGGCTATAAAAATAACACTCTCGGATTCAACAGTGGACTGGCAGTTTCAAAACTTGTACGGACATCCATCAGCGCGTCTCGACCGAACACACTCGTACGAAGTAGAAGTCAAACCCGTAGAGTCAGTGGCGTCTGATGAGCAAGAGCAAGCGTCCATAAATTTATCATTGATTGAGGACTCAAAGGCGCGCACCTTTCGGGAAAAATGCGGTGACTTTCGACATGGAGTCATGGCCGTCCTACTCCGCTTCATCTGCGTACTCTTGTTCGAAGCTCCCATGGCCCATAACAGCGCTTTGGAACTCGTATGGGTCGACAAGATTGTAAACAAAGTTCGCTTCCAAGATCTCATTGATAAAACTGTAAAAGATTGGGGAGATATCTCTTTGCTCGCCACCGTGCTCTGGACGTACGTACACCAACATATCACTAAAGTACAACCTTCTGACATCTTCCTAGCGCTAATATGGCTTTCCTTGCTATTCCTTATCCTATTCTCGACCCTCAACAAAAGCAACCCCTCACTGACACCCAAAACGTCGTCCGCGTCGCCATGATCACTGCCTCTCTCGCCTCCACCGTCTTCTCCGTTGGTTCAATCGCTATCAGTCTGCTCCACATGCGAAAACACAGGATGGAACGTACGGCGCAAGAGTACTGCGATTTCTTGCAAACCGAACACCATCAACTGTACGGCCACCGCCCCCTTGCTATCCTCTGGTCTCTTCCATTCGCCTTCCTCATGTGGTCCGTCTTGACCTTCTCGACCGCTATCATGCTCTTTTGCGTGACGGCCGGCTTCCCGGGAGGTCTAGTTCCCAAAATTCCCTTGCTCGCTCAAAGCGGGTTTATTATTGCTTCGATATTGCTCACTGTTTGGTATTTCTGGAAACGCGAGACAAAGTGGACTTCTACCGTCGAGGGAGTCCAACGACCGTCTTTCCGCATGGTATTTACGAGCTGGTTCTGGGATTTGAAGCGCGCGTCGGAACGCTACCGATCGCCCGTTTAAAGAAAATCATATACGATGTTTATACGACTCTTATTCTTGCACGCATCACCACGATTCTATTCTTGCACGCATCCAATGACTCCATCCTCATTTTCTTGGCCCGATATCTTATCGTTCTATATTCTCCTGTGCGAAGAATACAAGATAGACTGTTATGTATAATTAAGCCGAAGAAGTTCTTGGAAATAAATACAAGTCTAAATTCTACAAAATGCTCGGAATTAAATAAGCACTATCGCTTGGGACCTGAAGG